CCACAAATCCGACAAGGGAACCCATGGTGGCGAGCGGATTCTCGCCCGACGTGGTATCGCAGCCGCAACCTTCGAGGGGCACAGGGAGCACTGCCTCGAGCGACACAACGAGCAGCCGTTCGTGGGCTCCACGCCGGCGATCCTCCACGCCAAGAGCGGCAACGTCGTACTCGCATCGGCCTACCTCCGACCCGGGCCCCGCGATCAAGGCGCCAACAGGGACATCCTGGCCTCCATCTCCGCATTCGTGGACATGCGCACCGATCGACTACACGCAAGAGTGACCCTGGGTAAGAGTGACCTTTGGTGCGCGGCTTTTAGGGGGCCGCGGGGGGGACCCAAAGCGAGCGCGCGAGACGCAACTACCGCATCGCGTTCGGCGATCGGGGGGCCCCATTGGGCCCGCACCAAAGGTCACTCCGAAAAGTCACTCTTACGTGTAGTCGAACCGACCCGTGGATCATCCTCGCCGGCTGGAGCTACGAACCGAGCTGGTGGGATGACAGGTCGTGGCTCGCCAGGTGGAACGGCACCGCCCTCGCCGACGCAGAGTGCAAGGCCGCGTGCGGCAAGGGCGAGGGCTCCGTGTACGACTATGCGATCGTGCGCGCGGACATAGCCGCGCACCTGGACATCCAAGCGGTGTACGACGTGCCCTGGGAGACCCACTGCGGCATCCAGACCACGGTGGGCCGCGCCGAGGCGTGGGCGCACGAAGCTACCAAGGTGCCCAAAGCCCCCCACGCCCGAGCCAGACCTGAGAATGTCGCGGACCCTGACGGTAAAAGGTCCAGGGCTCGGGCGGCGGCGTTGAGAACTAGGAGGGAAAGGCTGCCAGAGCACCTGCGCGACGAGTTCGACGCCCTCTACTGCAACAGCGCGGACGCGCCAAAGGAAGACCCCGCGCCGTTCGTCGCCCCAGAGACCGACTGGGACAAGGCCGCCGACGAGGTGCGGAACTACCCGATGTTCGAGGGCAACCGCGTCGGTGCCAAGGAGGGCAGGGGCCGCATTTTCCACCACCACAAGCAAAATGCTGCAGCGCAGATCAACTCAGCGTACGCCCAGTGGGTCGCGACCATGGTGATAGTGATAGCCTTCCTGGAGACACACCACGTCCCCGCCGACGAGAGGGCAAGGTGCCAGGGCAGATCTGAGGGCTACAGAACCACCAGGCGGGTACTGAAGGCATCGCCTGGGAGAGCGCACATCAAGGGCCCGAGGCTACGTGGTGGCAGCACTGCAGCACGCGCATCCTGAGGTACACGGCATTGGTCAATCATGCGAAAGATCCCAAGGCGCGCCAGCATATCCACGGGATCATCCTGAGCAAGCTCGACGATCTGGACAACCCAGAGGCCCAGAATAACCACTTCGGCACCAAGACGGATCCGAAGGAGATCGACGAGTGGAAGACGCAGATCTCAACCCTCGAGTTCTGCGTCGAGGACGACCTCCACTACCTCTGCGCCACCACCGCGACGTGGGCGCATAAGGCCATGGCCAGGGCAGCGGGCAGAGCTCGGAAGAGATACCTTGAATGGGTGAAGCTTGCTTGGAAGGACTCTCCTGGTAAGCTCCATCGTGCCGTCGTGGACCCTGAGACACAGCGCTCGGAGAACGAGATGGGTCGCGCTACGTTCGGCGACCCATACCTGGTCATGAACGCGGCTGCGGACGCGTGGCGCGACATCTGGAAGTCGGATCACTACAACGAGAAGCAGATCATCGACGCTCGCGAGAAGGCCATCAAGTTGGCGAAGGAGGACCCCATCCCGATCATCGAGCCGCAGCGCATCCAGGCCGTCCTCGGCGTCGCCAACCCCCAGCAGACGAGGGGGGGTCGACAACATCGGCCCCGCCGACGTCTAGAGACCCTCCCAACAGGGCATCCAGGTGCTCGCCAATATCTGCAAAGCGGTGGAGCAGAGCGGCCTGTGGCCGCAGCAGCTATGCGCCACTGTTGGAGCGATGGCTTCCAAGCCCGCTGGAGGGGAACGGATCTTGGGCGTGCTTCCTGCGATCCCCACGACATGGGCCAAGATACGGCCCACCATCACGGACGAGTGGTCCAAGGAGTTGGCGGAGTTCTGGGACACCGCCATCAAGGGCTCCAGCGCGCTCAAGGCCGCGCTGGTCAGGGCCCTCCTCGACGAGACGGCAGCGGCGTTCGGCGTGACCTTCGCCGCGATCCTCATGGGCGCCGAGAAGTTCTACGACTCGGTCTGCTACGCGCTCCTCTTCGACGCCGCCATTAGGGTTAAGTTCCCGCCAATCGTCGTGGCGCTGGAGGCGCAGCTCTACCTAGCTCCCAGGAACCTGCGCATGCACGGCTGGGTGGGCGACATCATCGACCCGCAGCGGTCCATCGTCGCGGGCAGCTGCGACGGCGGCAAGCTGGCGAAGGTCTACCTCGGGCCGATCCTCCAGAGGGCTCGCCACCACAACTAACGCGGGTTTGTGGACCTTCGTAGACGACGCGGTGGCCAGGACGGAGGGGCAGACGAAGCAAGTCATCAGCGACCTCATTGGCGTGGCGACGGACCTCTGTACTGGCATGACGGAAGTGGGCCCCCGAGTGTCTCCCAAGACGACGGTCGTCGCGTCCAGTCAGACGATCGGCCTCGCGGTGCACGCCGGCCTCAAAAAGAAGGGCTACTCCATCAAAGCGGCCAACACTTCCGTCGACCTCGGCGTCGACGTGGGCGGCGATCACAGAGTGGCTCCACTTCTGGTTCACCCACCCAGAATACCACCTGCGGGTCACGCAGGCGCGGAAGCTCCTCCACGGCAAGACGATCAGCCGCGGCAACAAGAAGTGGAGGAAGGTGCTGGGGCCCATCTCCGCCATTCAGGCCATCCTCACAGATGCGGGGTGGACGTGCCCTACGCCATGCGAATGGTCTCGGCCACCATGTGAAGGAGAGACCGAAGTACAAGAATGGCTCCTACCACACAGCAGCCAACCAGACTGGGAGGACAAGAAGTGCGACGTGGACCCTGCGGAATTCATCCACGAGTTCTGCCTCTCCATCGAGAATGGCCTTTGGAAGGACGCAGCCAAACATCCACGCGGAGAAGGACTGCAGCGTGGAGGTCCAGATGTCCACATCATCACACACGAGATGGAGAAGTTCACCAAGAAGGGCAAGTACGACCAGTGGGCCCTCAACCTCTGCGTGGTCGCGGGGGAGCAATGGCCCAGGGAGCGCCTCGTGGAGACGGGGTACCAGGCATGCAAGCCATGCCCGCGCTGCGGGGCCTCCGACGAGACGCTCATGCACAGGATCTGGCTATGCCCGAGCAGCCGCGACCACGAGGACTACACCGATTCTGACGTCCTCCTTCCCTGTGGCCCAAAAAAACACAAAAAAACACGTGGGGGAAAAAAACATACACACACACACGTGTTGTGTGTGTGTGTTTTGTGTTGTTTTTTCCACTGTGATTTTTCCCACAGGCCCTTGCTAGGGCTGAGGTTGTTCCTGCCTGCTGGCTCCGCGGCCTGCCTGTGCGCGCAGGCACGCACCCTGCCTTCTCGTCGTTGGGAAGGGGACGGCGGGTGGAGCTGGGTTGGGCGGGACTGGGAGGACTGCGCCAACGCACCCTCGTCGAGGACGGGCCGGGCGGCAAGTTCAGTGGCGACCCCCGTCGCCGAAGGGTGGGGGCCGCCTGCATCGCTGTGAAGAGCCTCTTCGGGGAGTGGGTCTCGTGGGGGGGGGCATTCTCTCGGGCCCCGAGGGCTCCTTCCAGACGGTGCCGCGGGCCGAGCTCTTGGCTTTTGCGCTCGCTCTCGAAAGCTGGCCTGGCGACCTCTGCTTTATAGCTGACCACATGCCGCCCTATGGCGGGTGGAAGACGAACCGACACCTGTGCCCCAGCGAAGGCGCGAACATAGCTTTGTGGGCACGCACTGCCAAAGCAATGCGCACTCGTGGCAGCAGCAAGCTAGAGGTGACTTGGGTGCCCTCACACAGCGAGGGAGCACCTGGCCTGGCTTCCGACCCCGCCAGCTACTTGCATACTGTCGGCAACGCAGCGGCTGACGCGTGGGCAAGTGTAGCGGCCCAGGCCTCCTACGAGGCAGCTTTCGTGGGCCAGGCGCCTCCCACCGACCTGCATGACAACCCGAGCGCCCTAATCCGCAGGAAGGCGCGCAGGGCGCTTGCTGACACGCTTGCAGTTGACCCCTGGGTCGCGGAGCGACCCTCGCAGGCCAAAGGCCCACGTCTCACCAAGCTTCAGCTAGCCATGCAGTCTAGCCAGTATTCCTTCGAGTTCCGCGCAGGCAAGTAACTGTGCACACGTTGTGGGCTCACTACAGACCTGTGTAAAGTGCGGCAGGCATGCGCGACGCCCTGCCATCACAGGCCGCCGCAGCCTGCGGCCAGCGAGCAAGTGGTGCCAATACAGGGCACCGCTACCATCTGCGGGCCTCCCACGAGCTACACTACATGCAGAAGTGCTGTCTGCACTTCTGCCGTGAATGCGGCCAGACGGCTACGCAAGACCCACGCCATCTTGCCGCACCCTGCATGGGAATCGCCAGGAAAGGGCGAGAGAACCTCGCCAAGATTGACAGCGGACTTTTCGCCCGTGCCCATGCTTGCCTTCGCTCGGACGTCCATTCTCTGTGTTTTTTTCGGTTTCGTGCGTGGTTTTTCCGCAGGATGATCCCGGATGCTCCTTAATAATCCCCGCCGAGAAAAAGTGCACACGTCCGAGCGATCCCAAGCATGCTGGGCGCGACGGACTGACCCAATTCGTGCGGGCGGCCACCCACGGCATGGCCGTGGAGGAGTGCAGTGCCGCCGCCGCGCTTGCAGCTGTGCCCGCAAGCGCCTCACATCAGGATAGTCAGAAGGCACTTGGCCTCGCTCACAAAACGCACCCTGGCGTGCTCGGATGTATCCTCATGTGTCCTCCTCCTCCTCCTCGATCCTCCTCCTCCTCCTCGATCCTCCTGGCTCCTCCTCGCTCCCCCCCCCTGGTGTGAAAACCTTGGTCTTCTTGCGCAGGCCCGACGTCCCGGGCTTCTGCCCCTCGATGGGCTTGGTGGACACCGTCGCCACGGCCAGGTCCGCCTTCGCGAGCGGCCCGGGAAGGGGAGGAGAAGGAGGAGGAGGATACTGATGATGGCGATGCTGATGATGACGATGATCATGATGATGATGCAGGTGATGGTGATGATGATGATGATGGTGATGATGATGATGATGATGATGATGATGATGACGACGATGCTGCTGAGGATGATGATGATGATGATGACGACGATGCTGATGAAGATGATGCTGCTGCTGCTGATGATGGGGCTAAAGGTGGTTATGGTGGTCATGGCAATGACGATGATGATGATGATGATGATGATGATGATGATGATGATGATGATGATGATGATGATGATGATGGTGGGGATGATGCTGGCGATGACATGGCGATGCTGGCGATGATGGCGACGCTGGCGCTGATGATGATGCTGATGATGATGACGATGATGACGATGATGATTTCCCCCACCCCGTCACTGGGACTGCCAGGCTTTTGCAAAAGACCGGTCTCGACAAGGTTGTGCCCTCAGCCTAGCTTGTGCTTGGGCGTCCCAGGAAGACGGTTTCTCACACGGCTGCGAGTGTGGAGGAACGCATCGCACAGGCAGGCACAAAGAAGACGGCAAACGGCACACAGGGGACGGAGGAAGAGAACATTGAACCACGGGCGCTCAGGAGTCATTTCTGGGAATCCTCTTCCCATTCAGTGGAGGCGCAGATCACGTAGCCGAGGGCACGCACGATCATGACGCATACAACCGAAGTTGATCGGACCGCTCTCGGACGAAACAAGCGAGGAACAACCACAGCAACACGAGGCAGAGGAGAAGTCACGATAACGAGCAGTGGCACGTACTCCATAGCAGCTGTTGGATTTCCCCATCTTGGGCTCCTATTGAGGCCCTTTGGGAGCCCGTTTTGGCCGCCAAAGGGCGCCTCGTGGACCGTCTGGGGACCCTCTTGGGCTGTCTTGGGGCCCTGTTGGGGCCCTCTTGGGCCGTCTTGGGGCGATCTTGGGGTCCTCTGAGGTCTTCAAGGACTGTACGAAGATCAGAAAAATTGGATACGCTAAAAATGGACGTTTAACGAAAGGAGTGGGACAATGTTTGCTTGTCGGGGCCCTCTTGGGGGACCTCTTGGAAGGGACTCCAAGCGTCTTGGACGCCTGTGGGGCCGTTCGAGACGCGTCGTGAGCCGTCGGGCACCCATGGAGGCCGTCTTGAGGGTGATTCACGACTGTCGTGGGGCGGCGTGACGCCCTTCGGATCGCTCTCCGGGGCGCTTCTGAAACTCCCAAAGGCGGGCCCGGCCACCCTCTCCCCCATTTAACACGGTGGTCATCGTGGCCCCCAGGCCCCCCCCCTCGGCACGGTCCCCCGTGATGTGCAAATCAGCGGAGGATCGGAAGAGAAGGAGAAGGGTTAGGGATAGTGTGAGCGTGAGTGTGAGCGTGAATGTGAGTGTCAGGAGGAGGAGGAGGAGGAGGAGGAGGAGGAGGAGGAGGAGGAGGAGGAGGAGGAGGAGTGGGGCGACGGAGGAGAGGGGGAAGGAGAGGAGGATGATGAGGATGATGATGAGGAGGAGGTGGAGGAGGAGGGGGATAGTGAGGCCCCGCCTCGAGGATGATTGCGCCCTCGGGGGGGCCATGCTCGCGGGAGCCGCAGTAGTTGCTGTTGCCCATCCTCCTTGCACGGGGAGGAAGAGACGCAAGGAAACAAAGACGAGGGGATAGGAAGGGAACACGGAGGAGGCATGCGAGGGGTGAGAAGGATGAGGAGGAGGGGAGGAGGGGGGAGGAGGAGGAGGAGGAGGAGGAGGAGGAGGAGGAGGAGGAGGAGGAGGAGGAGGAGGAGGAGGAGGAGGGGAGGAGAAAAGGGAGGAGAAAAGGGAGGAGGCGTGCGAAGACGAGGAGGAGCAGAAGCAGCTGGAGGAGAACGAGGATGAGGAGAAGTAGAACGAAGAGGAGGTGGAGGAGAACGAGGAGGAGGAGGAGGCCCAGTGCAAACCCAAGAGCCACCAACGATGTTGCACGAAATGATTCCTCTTGGTTCCCTCTCCATGGGACCCCACAACTGAAAGAAATGCCCCGTTGGAAGACAACCCCCCGGAAACCCTGAACCGTGCCAATATATCATTCCTGGGAATACAACGCCTCGAATTAACGTATCTGCTGCGCCCTGGCGATCCTGAATCTTGCCAAGAAGCAATTCGTGGGACTTCAACACCGTGAATCACGGTGACTGTTGCACCCACAGAGCCCCAGATCTTGCCAAATCACAACTTCTGGGATGCCAGCCAGAAGAATCCTTGGAAACTGTCGTGAACTCCTATGATGGATGTGCGCGGCGCTAGAGCGAAAACCACGCGTTGAACAACAACGCCCTCCATCCGTGACACCCTTGCAAGCTTCTGGAATCACTGTGCGCGGCGCTGAGGCGAAAATCACATCTTGAAAAGGAACCACCATCCATCCGCGAACCAATTGCACACACACACACACACACACTAAAAAAAACGAATCTGCGCGGCGCGAGGGCGATAACCAAATTTAAAGTACGGCCCGCCTGGCACCCGTGAAACTTGTACTACAAATCTGGCGCGAAGACGAGAAACGCATTTTGAAAACCGCCTTCCATCCGTGAAGCTCCTGCCAACATTGAGATCGAATGTGCGCGACGCTAAAGCTAGAATTGCGCCAGTGCGACCCTACCTAGAAGTTGGAGCCCCTAGGAAAACAGCATCAGTTGCTATGCTATGTTATGATATGCTATACCATGCTATGCTGGGCTATGCTATGATGCGCTATGCTATGCTATGATATGCTGCGCTATGCTATACTATGCTATGCTATGTTATGCCAAGCTATGATAGGTTGTGCTGCGCTGTGCTATGCTAAGCTGTGATATGATATGCTATGACATGCTAAGCTGCGCTATGATATGATGCGCTATGCTATGCTATGATATGCTATGCTATGCTATGCTATGACTGGCTATGCTATGCTATGTTATGCTAATGCAGTGCTGCGCTATGCTAAGCTAAGCTAAGCTAACCCTCTAGGCATAGCCTAGGTAGGGAATTACACCGCTGAGCTAAGCTAAACTAAGCTAATATGAAATAAGCTAAGCTAAGATGAGACACGCAACGCTAAGCTAAGGGGACGTAACTGGGGGAACCGCGGGGCGGATGCCCGGGGAACCGCCCAGGGCGATATCCACTGCCCGGCCCCTTTAAGCTAAGACAATAAGAACCCTTCTAGGCAGAGGCTAGGTAGGGAACAACATCTTGAAAACGGCCCGCCCTCCCTTCGTGAAACTATTGCAAATCTTAGACGCGAATGTGCGCGGCGCTGGGGCGAGAACTACATTTTGAACACGACCCGCCCCCCACTCGTGAAGCGGTTGCAAATTCTCACATTCAAGAGAAGAATGGGTGAAAAACAATTCAAGCGAAACGCCCGGACCGCCCTAATACCGACCCGCCTCTGGGCGCGGCAGGGGAGTGTGATTGTATAAGGAAAAAATGAAGGAGAAGCAGGAGGAGGAGGAGGAGGACAAAGAGGGGGAGGAGGAGGAGCAGGATGAGCAGGAGGCGGAGCGGGAGGAGCAGGAGGAGGAGGAGGAACGGGAGGAGGCGAAGGAGGCTTGCGAAGAGGAGGAGGAGGAGAACGAGGAGGAAGAGGACTAGGAGGAGGAAGACGAGGAGGAACAAGTGGAACAATGGGAGAAGGAGGAGGAATATGGGAAGCATGAAAGCAGTAGGAGGCTTCCGGAGCGAGGGGGAAGTGGAGAACGGAAGAGGAGGACAAGAAGGGGTTAGGAGGGGGAGGACAGAGGAGGCCGGAGGACGAGGAACAGGCTGCGGGCCCCTACCCCTGGGCTCTCCTTGGCAGGGGGCGGCGCGTGCGAGGCCTCAGTGGCTGGCTGCGGCTGAGCCTAAACGGCTGCGGGCGGCGAGGGCGACGATCGCGCTGGCCCGGCCCAACGAAGACCACCGAGGGAGGCCGCCCGAATTGGGCCGAGCGGCGCACTCACGAACCAGTCCAACAGGGGCGAAGATTTGCTTTACCGTTTCGGTGACACCGTTGTTTTTGGCCGCTTCGTGCCAAACGAAGATTGCTCAACAGCAGTAAAAAAAGCGTGTCGTTTCCAAGGCCCGCCTGAGGTCCTGACTGAGATGTCGATGAGGCCCTTGTCGGACAGACGGGTGCGTGCGTCCGGCTCCTTGTCGCAGCACCTCGGATGTAGCTCTGCACCTTACAATGCCACTCGCATTATGTTTCAGGACGCCGCTCGGACCCCAAACCGATGTCAACACTGCCTGATCTGCGACACGCGATTGTGCGGATCGCCTTCGTTATTCATTGCTCGTTTCCCGCACGGCCATCCACACACCCTGCTGAGGTCCATGGCCAGATCTGTCTTCTGGCAATTTTCCAGCGTCGCGTGTGGACATCGGCGGCGCGCAGAGGGGCGCATGGGGAGGGGGGACGGCTTCTCAGAAGCACCCCTGCTTCTTAGAAGGCGCGGGCCTTCCATACACAGGCAAGACCCGCGCCTTCCAAGAAGCAGGAGGAGGAGGAGGAGGAGGAGGAGGACCCCTCCACAATTACTCAATCTGAATACTACTCTCCCTCTTCCCCTGATGGCGGCCTGGGAATATTCGAGCCCCCCCCGCGTACTGTTTTTTACACACAGGATTCCTGGAATGTTGGGACCAACTGTCACTGTGATGTTTTTTATTGCGAGGTCCCCCGCCGGTCCAGGACGAGTGCCATGTGGGCCCACCCCCGCGCAGCGGGAGCGCTCCCCAGTTTTTGAGGTTCCACATTTGTCAGAAGCGGGCCAAACGCCTTTCGCACATTATGCCGTAACGTTGCATGTTCCCCGTTTGCCCATGCTCAGCCTTGGAACTCATGATATCAATACTCGCTGTCGCCGTCCGTGGTTCTCATGTGACTTGGAGCGCCCCCAAGTGGGCAAGTAGGTATCTCCGCGCTCCAGCTACCAGCCAGTGCATTCACGCGGCTGCATCTCGCGCTCACCCTTCCGGCAACGAGAGTTGCTGGCCTTTCAGGGCGTGCAGAAATGCCCGCGACCAGCAAATTTGGAAGCGGTTGGGTTATTCCTTGAGGTGTTGGACCAGCCTCACGTGTGAATGGTTACCCGTTTCCTAGTGAAGGGATGCGCGGCCAGCCTCACGTCCAAATGACTCGCCAGCGTGTCTTCAGCTCGGTCCGAGCGCCACTCTGGATAGAAATAGCCCCCCTAAATAGAGAGAGAGAGAGAGGGCCCGTAGGGCAGACGGGTCTGCCCCAGCTCGACGCCGGGCCGCGTGCTCCGCTCAGTCGTGCCTTCGGTTGTCGCTCCAACGTTTTCGCTGCTGTCCAGCGTGCCGTTGAGCATGCACACAAAGTGCCAAGGGTGCCACTCCAGGAGCCTCTTGCGCCATCGCCCATTGCTCCACAGCCCATCTAAATGCCTCATCGCTTCGGGCCCCCACCATGGCACCCCAAGTGCGCAGCTGTGCAGGACATATTCCTGCGCTGCCACTTTTGGCCCTCCGTTCGTCCGCCTCTGCCCTGGCCCCTCCTGGGCCCAAAGTGTCAGGTACCGATACTGTGCTACAGTCGGGGCGTTGACCTAAGGAACCCTAAATAACGAACGGGGCCCCTTTCTCCCATAAGTTGAACTTCGGTTTCCCATGGAAAACTCCAGGAAAACAGGAGGCAAACTGTCGAACAATCAAGGAACACCGAGCCCCTCCCCAACGAAAAGGGTTCCTTCTTCAGGGCCCCGGCTGTAGAGCGCCGCCTGGCCTTCAAGGCGACGAGTCTGCACCATCCCCGGGCAGCGCCGTCAGGGCCTGTAAGCCTTTGCGCCATCCCTGCTGGCTGCCATCACGCTCCGACACTTCCCGTGGCGCGAGGGCGCTTCAAGCACGATCCAAAGGCATTCCGCCTTGCACGAGGCCCAAGCCCGAGGCCTGTGGGATCGACCGTTCTGTGCCCTTCCACGCCGCCCGTGGTTTACTTTAGCCTTCGCCATCCATACCTCACTTACGGCGTCAGTCCAATCAAAAGGCCCTCTCTCCACTGATAGCCCCCTCCCATCCTACCCCCCTCCTCCTCCTCCTCCTCCTCCTCCTCCTCCTCCTCCTCCTCCTCCTGATCCTCCTCCTCGCTGTGTCTCATCCTCAATTCCTTTTCCTTATAAATGACTCCTTCTTGTCGCACCCCGAGGCCGGTCGGAACGGCGGGCCGGGTGTTCCGCCTGAGATGTCCTCACAGTTTGTGATCCTCGAGCCAAAAAATTGGCAGCAGCTTCGCAGCTGGAGGGCGGGCCGGTTCCGACCTGTGGCTCTCGCCTCCGCGCCGCGCACAGTCGTCCAACAACATGGCAAGAGTTTCACGGATTGAGGGCGGGTGGTTTTCAAACTGTGGGCGCCGAGCACATTCGTTTAACACACACTGCAAGAACTTCACAGGTTGAGGGCGGGCCGTCTTCAGAATATGTTGTTCTGGCCTTCGCGCCGCGTGCATTCCTTGAAACATTCGCAAGAACTTCGCGGATTGAGGGCAACTCTTTTTCAAAATGTGTCTCTGGCCCCAGCGCCGCGCACAGTCGTTTCAACAATTGCAAGAATTCTGCGGCTTCCCATGTCGGGATTGTCAAGGGGCAACAGTTACGTGGAGTCGCGGTGCCGACATCTCGATAATTGTGCCTTGGCAGACTTCAGGACCTCCAAAAGGTTGTCTCCCAACGGGGCACTTCCTTCAGCGGAAATGACTCCGTGTGAAGGGCTTATGAACAGGGAGCTTGGAGGAAGGGTTTATCCTAACTCGTTGAAGACTCTTGGGTTTACACTGGTTTCCCTCCTCCTCATTCTCCTCCTCCTCCTCCTCCTCCTCCTCCTAGCTCCTCCTCCTCCTCCTCCCTACTCCTTTCACTCGACCTCCTCCTCTTCCTCCTCCTCCTCCTCCTCATCCTCCTCCTCCTCCTCCTCGTGCTCTTGCTCCTCGTATCGTTCCTCCGCCTTTCCCCCCTCTTCCGCCTCCTCCTCTCCGCACACCCGCCTCCTCGCCCCCAGGGGAGTGACCGCTGGCTGGTTACCGCGGCGGCGAAGCTTGCACACCCACGGATGCGTAAGCTTACTGTGCGGGGCCCGCGCTGGCAGACACTAACAGAACAAGAGAAATCGGCTTGAATCTTGCTTTTCGACGGTGCGCGCGGATGTCATGGATCGGCGCTGGAACCCCGTCTCTGGCGGAGCGCGGAGCCCGCCGGGTGCCAAGGCGACACCCGGAAGATCCGAGGCAGATCCAGTACAATGTAGTGGATCTGCCTCGGATCTTCCCGGCGGAGGTCCGAGGCAGACCTCCGCGCGTGCTCGGAGGTCCGTGCGGATGTGTTGAATGTATCCGCGCGGACCTCCGAAAACTTACCCGGTCAGGAGCTTTTGCTCAGCGTGTCGCGGCGGCGGTCCCAGCCATACGCTATGCCTTGCAACCGGATGGCGTGTCGTCACTCTGCTCCGCGGGGCGGGTGGCCGGGAAAAGCTCGGGACGTTGACGCTCGGGGACCAAGAAGTGGTGAGCGTGCCGCGCCGAAGCGCGATGGGCCAGAACCGGCGGCGCCACACGCCGAGCCAAAGCTCCTCGCCGTACGTTCGTGCCGCCATCCTCTCCGGGTGGATCCCGGCGCTGCCCCCGCCCTCGGCAGCTTGGGCTCACCGCGCAACCTCTTGGTGCACCAGCCTTCGGTGCCCGAGGCCGCCTGCGCACCCCTCGCGGCGAAGGTCCCCTGCGCCCGAGGCCTCCTCCCGCTTCGGCCTCCGCGGTCGCCCTCCTCTCCCCCCGGACGCGTTGGTGTGCCCCGGGGCCCGATGGCGGGCCCCGAGAGGCTTGGGTGTCGAGCCAGCACTAGGGCCGCAGGCAGCGGTTCGGGACGATCCCAGCGTCCCTGGAGCGCCCCCGACAGGGCGCAGCCGATGGAAACCACGGCGTGGTCTGGAGGCGCGCGAGAAGTCCCGAGAACTTGCGAGAATATGAAGCAGCCTCTCCTGCGACGCTGAAGGGCAACGATAGGGGGGGACGGGCTCAGGGGGGGAAGCATCGACCTGGAACCGGCGGTACACCGCCGATAGATCAGCCATAGGCCCCCGATGGCGCATCCGCCAGTTCCTGGCAAGTTGGTGCTATCAGCCTCTCACCGGCGATCAGTGAACGATTGGGGCTCGATGCATCACCCTTTTGAGCCTGTCAGGGTCTCCACGGTGGCTCTCGGGCCACACCTCGGGTCTCCAGCGGCCGCTCGGGGCGATCCGGGCACCCCAAGGACGCCACCGACGAGGCGATGTGGGCATCCCCCCGCGGCAGCCGATCCCCCTCCACAACGCTGCCACTGAGACGCGCGACTACCTTCGCGACCCCTCGGCACCTGCCCGAGAGGACGGCGCCAGGGAGGAGCCGGTCGGGCACGGGAAGCGCAGCGCGCGCGGGTGGCGGACCTCCCGGCGGGGAACAAGAGGAGAGGGTGATAAAAGAACAACACCTCCAACTTCTCCTCCTCCTCCTCCTCCTCCTCCTCCTCCTCCTCCTCCTCCCCTTCTTCTTCCTCCTCCTCCTCCTCCTCCTCCTCCTCCTCCTCCTTATTCGACCCCTCCTCCTCCTCCTCCACTTCCTGCTCCTCCTCCTCCTCTTCGTCGTCCTCCTCCTCCTCACTTCTCCCTCTCCTCCTCTCGCGGCTCCTCCAAGACCAGAAGGAGGAGGAGTGTGGAAGGCCGGGGGGGGGGCAAAGAGAAGAAGGCGCTCGAGGCATGGGTGCGAGTTGTCGGGCCCCGAGGGGGGAGCTTCTCTTCGAGCGGGGGCCCCCTTCCGACGGCACGCGCCCGTGGCCCCCAACGGAGTTCCACCCCGAGATAAATCGAGGGGTCGCATACGTATG